TATATATATAATATTTTTTTTTCTCTCCCCTCCACTGTAACCTCTTATATGGTACTGTATTTTGCATGCTGTTTGCAAAGAAGCCACTTTTAGGAATACATAAGTCACGTCTGTTGTAGGTTCAGTGACAGTTTAAAAGAGCTAAGTTAATTCATTGACAATAATATTCATATATCATTACACATAAATCACACATTTACAAGTCGCAGGGCACATGAAGATAATTATTCCCTTTACCATCTATGGACTATTTAGTCTTAAAAGAAAACATGCATGTTTTGCGGATGTAAGCAACTGAGAAGATGTAAAATCGACTCCGAGATGTTCCAATGGAGAGTCAAACGCCGAACTCCTTGAGTTATAATCCATAGTAGCTGAGTTCTCTTAATATGTGAAGTAAATGGAAAAATATTTACTCCTTTCATTGTCATTTGTATCTGACTTGCATTTATTTAGGAATTCAGTTGTAGAATTTTACTTCTACTTGTAATTGTTTTTCACACATTTACTCAATTCATTGGGATAAATCTAACAGATTTAACATGTTATAATTATACTCAATCACGTACTAGTACATATAACTACATTGTTTTACAGTGCAGGAAAGTAATTTGAAATCCAGATGTGTGTCGCCATCCAAATCCCGGTGCCACTCCAGCAACAAAATCCCTTCAATACTTTAATCTTGACCTGAAGTGTGATCTGTTTGTCCCAAAGCCAGCCAAGAGCTGCCAAAGTCTCGAGAGTTTGGATTAAGTTCAGCAAGCCTACCTGCAGCAAAGAGTTCCCGGTGTCACTGCCAGGAGTTATTTTGCCATACATCGTGTGCCCCGCTCGCTGAGTAGCATTCCTACAGCCAGACCAAACAATAAAGGATGTGCTTTGCTCCCTGTGCCTTTGGACTATGACATCATCAACATGGCCTTATATGGAGCTTTGCATTTCACGCACACACAAGAAGGGGGTGTTCTTGCTTGCTGGCGTGCGTGTGCGCGCCAGACAGAGTGCGTACATTATTACACATTTTTTGCCTTTAACAGTGGTGGGAAGTAACAAAGTACAAATACTTTGGTACTGTATCTACTTTAGTTACTTGAAAATATCGCTGGGGACTAAACCAGGGAGCATTGACCACAATGATTCAACAGATTAGGAGAAGATAGATATCATTTGTTATTTTAGCATTTTTTATTGTGAGTCAGTTCACAACTATTGTTTATGGTGGCATAAAAGCTTCAGCCATCACACAATCGTTTTTTCCCCCCCTACTCAGGATGAGCACTGTGATAGTTAATAAACGAGGGAAATTATTTTGTGTGCAGAGGTTTTTTGGGGGGTTTGTTTTGTTGTGCTAAATTATCAAAACGGATATTCTAACTGATGGTAAAAAGTCATTTTTACTTTTTCACATTTCAGAATCTGTACACCAGTGACAGAGTTGTATCAGTGCTTGGGCACACAATCGTTTTTTCCCCCCCTACTCAGGATGAGTAGGGGGGGAAGTATTTTCCTACACAAATATTTGCACCTTTCCTTGAGTACAAATACTTTTGCCACCACTACATTTTAACCAGCTGGAGATATAATGTCTCTGTGTCGTAATGCTTTGTCTAAGTAGTGTATCTCCACTAATTAAAATGTTTCCAAGATTAGAATACAAAAATTATGTTTTCTCAAACAAAGGCTGTCTTCTTAAGAAAAGCTAAATAGCCTTTCTGTTATTGCTGTCCAGTATTCAATCTGTGGTCATGACGGTCAGGGGAGCCGCCAGGGATTTGGCGGGCCCCATGGAGAAGAAGAAGAAAAAAAAAAATCATGTTTTTTTTTTTTGTTTGTTTCTCAAGGGCCCACATCAGTCATGGGTTCACGTCTCTTTTTTTCCTCTCAAGTCACCACTGACTGGCATTGACAGGGATGTCACTCTCCTTATGTATGTATGATTCAAAATATTAATGGGAGAAGCGTTGTCAGGCTCATTATCTTGAGTGACCAGCGTTTTTTTTTCTTCATACTTTGTTTCAGTGTGTTGGTGTCGAATTGAGCTGCCGAAATGACTGTTGTATCCGTCTTTAGTTATAATGTACACAAGTCCTTGATTTCATGAGTTTCCATTCAGTGTGTGAACACTCCACAGCTGTAAGATCAGACAGCAAGAGAAAAAAAAGCTCAACGCGGAGTCTTGGTAGTCGTGTCGCCTCACCTGCCTGCTCATGCATGTTGCACATTATGAAACGGACAATATCTGACGTGCATGACGTCCTCCTGTAATCAAACCCAAATGGTTCTCTTTCTGTCTCCACGTTTGCTCTTTAATTCCCTTCTTCCTCCTTTTTTTTATTTCACTACTGATGTTTCTTTCGTCTTAGAAATGATAAATGCTTCTTCCAACAAAGCCATGACAGGGATAAGAAGAAGAAGTAGTTCCCAGCACACCTGTAGAATGAGTGACGTGTGCAGTCTTGTCAAAGGACTGCTCAAGAGGCAGGAATCAATTTCGCACCTTCAGAGGGTGCAACTAGGCAGACAGTCTGTAAATTACACACCGAAGGCCCCTTTTCACTGCAGGAACCTTTGGAGGAACTTTATGCATTCACGCCAAGGGTATTCTTCTGAATCCTGGATTTTGTTTCCTTTTCTGGTTGCGGGGCAGTACTGCCCAGGAACATTTTCTTTAGGGGCAGGTTCTTGTAATCGGTTGAGGACTCGCATTTTATTAGCGATGAAGTGTTTGAAAGTCTACAGTTGTTTAAATACTCATTAACAATCATTGAGGGATGCCAGGTACAGTCTGGACCAGAAGTTAATGAAATATAATAATTATTTTCTGTTTAGCTAGAATTAAAAATAAACAGTTTGATATATCAAATAAAGTGTGACAAAATGTAATGAATCATGCCCATAATGTTCTAGATAAGGGGTCACCGACCTTTTTGAAACCGAGGGCAACTTCTTGGGTACTGATTACCCAAGGCCAAACAGTTTGATTGACACTTTTGAAATAACCGATTTGCTCAAATTATGTCTTTCATAAAAATGATGTCAACGATCGTGTTTGTGATATCCCACAATAATTATCAACAACGATTTAACAAGTTAGTAACATCAATATGCAACACTTTATTCCTATAAATCTCTGCAAGTGTTTACATTTTCCAAATGCTTAAAAAACTTTCTGGAAATCATAATGTTCGCATTTTCACTAGCCACTTACACTGACTAACTGAGACGTTTTTTAGAAACAGGCCCGCGGGCAATTCATGTGATCCCTGTGGGTGGGGGTGACCTGGTGCCCGTAGGCAGCATGTCGGTAACCTCTGCTATCGATCCTTCTGCCTGTCACATAAATAATGACGAGGAATGGTCATGACAGGCATTCTGTCTTGCAGTTTGCGACGCAGGAATTTACAGACGGACTCGCGACACAACCATGAGTGTGTGTTGTACAGTCAGGGTGACATCATTGCCCGGCGCACTTAAAGAGAGATGAGGCAAGTTGCCTGCCGCTTTCAGGCCAATTCATGGCCACATCATCATGATCATGTCAGCAGCCAAAGATGTCTTCTGTGAAAGGAGTCAGACGCAACATGTTAGCCTTAGTTGGACAAATCTTGTAAGCCAGTGTTTCCCAACCTCTAATGAGCCAAGGTAGGTATTTTGCACAGTAAAAATCTCATGGCACAACGCTAAACAAAAATGTCTCAAAAAGTAAACAGCTCTGGAAAAAATGAAGAGACCAGAAAAAAAAGATCATTGTTTGGCACGTTGACTCTTTTTAATTTTCTTCAATTAAATGCGCTAAATTACAATATTTGTATTATTTGTATAGTTAGAATATAGGGTTGTATATTCTGAAATTATGACAACCCCATCTCAATAAACTCACAAATCTACTGTCCCAGTGTAAAGTCAGGGCCTGTTTAGTTGAGCACAACACT